GACAATTCAGCTTGAGCTAAATAGTATAACGCAAAAGCATGCAATGTAGGGAGAAAAGATTCCATCTCTACACCAAATAAGCTTTGGCTTACAAGTATTATAGCAATAGCATTTATTAAAACCGAGCAACGGCTACATCCCGGCCTGCTTGGGGTCCCATGCAAGTCAGAACAAAATTTAAGCAATTTATCTGATCTAAAATTAGCATTACCGATTTGTTAAAATCGTCTAGGGACGTCAGAAGAACATTTCAGAACACTTAAAAGCGGGAGGTATTCCTTTCTCACCAATCTCAGGGTGACGATTAACTTAAAAGGCACAGTTGATCCTACTTTATGGAAGTTATTTCCCTTCAGCCTAAAACAATGACCAGTGCCAGTGCAGAATTTTTAATTAAATGCTATTTGACAGAAGATAATTGTTCTTTTAGAAGGCAGTTAGACTTTCCTCCATGAAGATGTGCTATCATTTTGGCACTATCCAACCCAATTCACCAAAATCAAATATGTTTGTGATTTTTTAAATTGAACTGTGCACATTTCGTAAATACGGTGTGCAATCGCCAATAAGAAGACCACTACGTTCACATGACATATAGGGTTCAGACATTATTAATAATTGTGAACGGGCAACAAACATGTGACATTCTAATGAAGAAAATCAGTGGCCTAATTGATAGTGTGTGTGTATTGAGCAGCGCCTTTTCCCGACCAAACCTGATCCGGTTTTATCATGTAGATCTGATACATTTGACCAATAGGTATCTCTTTATTGTGGTAGTTCTTATCAACCAGCTGCTATAATGTGCTGAGCCCAAAATGTTGGGTTTTTTTAGATTACTGTTTTCTATTCTGCGGTGTCGGTTGCATGAGCTCTGGAAATATTTTGTCAAAATTCAAATTATAAATGTCGAAAAAAAAGCAAGAAAAGATCTTTAAAATAGGTACAATTGATAAAAGAATGAAACAGTTTTATTTGTTTGTGGGTGTTTTATATTGTTTTGTTTTGTTTTACTTTGTTTTTAGGAGGGGGGGGGGGTCCTCACTCCCAGAAAATTTTGCAATCTAGGCTTATGACATTTTAACGGGCTTTCTGACTGGACCAAGGGGCAGGGCCTACGCTTTGGAAGACAAAAACGGAAGCCATTTTGCTTACTCTCAAACTGGCAGTGCGCCCCCTCGTGGAAAGCATCACAATCACAGGTCACGCCATTGTAGGTCCCATGACCAGAACACTGATCAGCGTCTGGGACATCTGGGGAATACACGCAACATCACATAGTCATAGAATCGTGGAAGTAGAGGTAAGTTAAGTTTTAGTAAAAGTGTTACGGCACTTATGAAACAATTAGGTCGTTTAAGTGTCGCAGACTTGAGGTGTTACGCGAGAGTAGCCTAACGATCACAAAAAAGAAGGGGAGGAGATTAGGACGAAAGATGTTTGATAGGAAAGAAGGTGCAAACCACACCAGCGCATCCGCCAACCACCCACAGGTAGATGTAAACCTGGGGCTCCATTCAGAACTTAGGGCCTACTTGATCTTCTACACATTTTCGGCACTTTCACTCACCATGGGGCCATTTCTGTGTCACCGTGACGTCATCAGCGAAAAACGGTTTTGAGAGTAGGGGTCCAAATTAACTTCTACCGATGTTTTAGTAAGAGTTTTACGGCACTTGCCACACAATAAGGTCTTATGAGTTCCGAAGATTAGGGGTGTTACAAGACAGTAACAAACATAAAAGGGGGAGAGATAAAGGCGATAGTTATTTAATAGGAAAGAAGGAGCAAACCACACCAGAGCACCCGCCAACCACCCACATTTTACCGATGTGTATCCCGGTACAAAAGCAAGGGCGAAAAGAATGTTATTACAGAACAAAGTACCCACTCAAAGACAGACAGACAGACAGACAGACAGACAGACAGACAGACAGACAGACAGACAGACAGACAGACAGACAGACAGACAGACAGACAGACAGAAAAGGAAAGGGATGGGGTGGAGTGATGAGACACAATATACAGAGGATAATATGATTTTCATTGTCCGATAGCAACTGCAATCGGTCTATAATGTGCGTGTTGACTCATTCAAAACATCTGCGTCATTCAATTCCGGTACAGAGGAAGAGTGAAAATGATAATAATATTATTACAGAATAAAGTCACCTACTCAAAGAGAGAGAGAGAGAGAGAGAGAGAGAGAGAGAGAGAGAGAGAGAGAGAGAGAGAGAGAGAGAGAGAGAGAGAGAGAGAGAGAGAGATATTAGGACAGACAAACTGACAGAGAGGCAGGCAGACAGGGAGGGTGGGAGGGAGGTAGGTGGGGTAGACAGATGAGACGCAATATACAGATATGATTTTTATTTTACGCTATGATTTTTATTTTACCGCAAATCTTACCGTTCTACCGTGCTTACTCATTCCAAACATCTGTCTTGTATCCCTATTTCCATTTCATGAAATGCTCAGTAAGTTCATCTTTAACGAAACAACAAAAGCATTTTCTTCCTCCTTGAGGGAAGCCAAATTTTAAAAAAAAACTTTTTGGGTGAAAGGAGGAAAGAGTGAGAGAGAGAGGGAGGGAAGGTGATCGGGGTCTTGGTTAAAAATGTGTTTGAGTGTAGAAGAAAAAAGGAGTGAAAGGAAAAGGGGGACTGAGACTTTCATATTATACATACCACAAGAGGGGGAAAAG